TGAAAGGGATTAAAACAAATGCTCATAACTATGTTTATTTAAGTCGGATTTCGATGAATTTAGTACCGTTCGACTCAGCTTGAAGAGCTCTTTCGAACGATATATAATTTGCCATAAAAAGTTTAAAAAATCGAAAAAAATATAGAAAGGAAAAAAAGGGGGGGACCAGCCTTGGAATTACCAAAAAACTTTAAAATTTTTAATTTAGTATTGAATTTTTAAAAAATTTCGCCTGCGGCGCAGAAAATATAAGTTTTTGCTCAGGATTAAGTGAGAGGGATTTCACATGATATCAAACGTTAATCTGGACAATGATTCCGCATCATTGATTGAAGAGATATCGGAGGATTATTAGGATTAAGAGAGATTAAGAGACTTGAGAGGATTTATTATTAGGATTAAGAGACTTGGAGGGATTATGGCAACAGCAGCAATTATTAATAAATATTTGATTTTTTAAAATTAATTTAAATATTTTTGAAAAATTACGAATTACGATTACGAATTACGGCATTTTTTCAGTTACGAATTACGATTACGAAATTTTTTTGAAAATTACGAATACGAAAAAAATTTTTCAATTACGACGCAACTCTGCTCTACTCCAACTTTTTACAAATTGTAAAAAAGGTTGGAAAAAAAAGTTTTGTAAAATTTTATTTTAAAATCCAACCTTTTTTACCAACTTTTTTTTGCAACTTGAATTGTCTAAAAACACAAAACTTGAATATTTAATAAATAAAACTTGTTCCAACTTTTTTACAAATTGTAATTACAAATTGTAAATTCCAACTTTTTTAAATTTTAAAAATATTCCAATTAAAACTTGCAACTTGGCGTAATGTTTATTAAAAAGTTTGTCTAACTTTTAGCTTTTCTTTTTCCGTCTCTCTTTTTTACACACTATTTCCATTAAAATTTAAAAATTTTCCCAAAATTAAAATTAATTTTTTCTTTTAATTTTTGAGCTTTTAATTTATACAAAAACACTTGTTTAATTTTCTTTTACTTGTTTTAACTACTAATCCTTCCCATATTATTACCAATTCATCAACCTTTTTTTTTCAGTTGCAAAAAAGTTTCGGCTCTCCTTTAGCGGCTTTTTTCCTTTTTTCTTTTTATTATGATTAAATATTTTCTCTTATTTTCATTTTATTTTTATTTTACCTCATTAAACCGCTAAAAATTATTTTTTAAAAAATATTTTATGTAAATAAGCCTTTCTTTTTAATCGCCGAAAAAAATTTTTTTGCCTTCCAAAACTCATCAAAACCCCTCAACAGTCACCTCTATCTCTCCTTTCTTCTCTCCTTCCTTCTCTTCTTCTTCCCCTTCCCTTCCAATTCCCTCAATTCTTCCAACATTTCCCAACCTTTTTTTATTTTTAAATAGCAGATTGCCCCCCTTCCTCATCGTTTACACACACAAAATAGACACAGACACAAGTATATAGTAAGTAGTGTTGTTTCCCTCCCTTACATCAACAAACAATAAATATATATTTATTTATAACACCCCCCAAAAATTATATATATATTTGACAATCTCTCCTTCTCCTTCCCTCCCCCTCTCCTCTTTTTTCTTCCAAAAAAATTTTTTTTTCACCGCCCGGCCGATAGAGAGAAGCAGCAATGTGGGGAGAAGAGAAGAGAAGTGGTTGCTTGTTGGAAGAGGAAGAGGAGGGAAGGGAAGGGAAGGGGAGGAGGGGTTCGTCATTTTTACCCCCAAAAAATATATATATATCCTCTTAGAACATAATTTCCCCCTCTTTCCCCCAAAAAATATTTTTATATCCAAGTCATACTTGTAGTAATTCTTCTCTTTTATTGCGCCCATTTTTGCGCTTTTTCTTTCTTCCAAAATTTTTTTTTCTTGTCTTTCTACCAATTTTTTTTTATTATTTTTTAAGTCCGATTTTTTGGCGTTAAAACAATTTTCTGAATTAATTGTATTTGTTCTCCTTTTTGTCCTTCATATTTCCTCCTTTGTATTTCTTTAATCCGCGCCGAAACACTCCCGCGCCGAAATTACCCTTTAATTAAAGGGAAGTTTCGGCGCATAATACATTTAGGCGCGCGAATAAATAATTGATTGAATTTTTAAATAGGGATTTAAAATTTTTAAATTTTCATATTCCGAAGGGTGTTGACTAGCTCTACTAAAAATTTGAGAATTTTTGGCTTTGTATTTTTAAAGTTATGGGTGAAAAATGACAAAAAAATACGTAATTTCCGTTCAAAAATGTATCGTTTTCGGACAAAAATTCTGATTATAAAATCAGAATTTCTGAAAATTTTTCTGATTTTTTTGATTTTTTTTTGAAAATTTTTGGAGTTTTCCATACCCTAAATTTCAAAAAAAAATTTTTTTCAAAAGTTCTCGAGTCCTTAACGCGCCCCAATTTTTTCTTCTTCACTCATTTAATGCTCCTCAACGACCACTATATACACATTTTTTTCTCTCTTGGGAAAGCCGCCTAACTGTCCTCGCCATTTTATACCAAACAATATATTTAACTAGCCTTCCCCTCACTGACAAAAGCGCATTTTTAAGCAGCGCAGTCTTCCTATCCTTTATGGTTTTTTATGGTTTTTTGAAGGGGGGGAATGATGTTTGTCTCATCTATAAAAATTAGATATATATTTTGGTAGTGAGAAGAAAAGGGAAGGAAAGAAAGAAGTGACAAAAAGCGGAAAAATTGGAAGAAAAAAAATGGAAAGCTAAAAAATAGGCTAAAAGCACAAGAAGGGCTGTAGTTATTAGGTAGACTTCTTCCCCTTCCTCTTCTCTACTACCTCCCTTATTCGCTCACACAATCAAAATACTTAATACATACATTTTATACCTTTACAAGAAGAATAATAAAAAGAATAATAATTTGAGCAGAACGAGAAGAGGAAGGAAAAGGAAGAGTAGTCCTCCTACCCAAAATGGATTGAGGGTATTTTTGTAGAGGGGGACTTTTCGGCGCGGAATTAATTTTTCTTTTAATTGACCATTCTACTTGTTTTGGAGAAAATTAGAAGCCATATTGACCTTAAAGATTTTTGAAAATATTAAATAAAGGACGATAAAAATCCGCAAATTTAGTCCGCAAAAAAGTTGCGGACTAAATTTTTGTCCGCAACTTTTTTCGCAAATTTTTTTGAAAATCCTTCCACCTCCACTTAATTACTACTTAATAACGTCATATATTTAGGATAATAAAAGGTGCTCTTCCTCTCTTTAGCAGTGGAAAATTTAATAGATAGCCTAAATGCCTTTAAAAAGCATTTATTTTTAAAACTATTTGTTTAATTTTTTTCAACGCTAATTTTTTTTTATTTTTAATTACATACGTATGTATATTAGTCATTTTCTATATTCTCTCAAAAACTTTTTTTAATGTCACAAAAAAATTTTTTTCCATTTTTGGCAATTTATTTTTTTTTATTGTTTCTAAATTTTGTTTTTCAAAAAAAATTTTTTTTTTCGGAAAATCTTTTGTTTTTTTTTTAATTATTTTTTTAATTTTAGATTATTAAATTCTTTAAAAAGAAAAAAAAAACTTTTTTTCTTTATTTAATTAAATAATAAATAAAAAAGAGAGCAACTTCAAAGCTCTCATAAAAAGTCACAATTCGTTCCAAAACTACAAGCAGCTCTCATCACCAGCCCTCTAGCTCCGCCGCAGCTGTGAATATGTTTCCGCAGAATAGGCATAATACGGTTTGTTTGTTTTTCTTTTTATTTTTGGATTTGTGTGTGTCCGCAAGTTTTGTCCGCAAAAAATTTTTTTGTCCGCATTTTTCGACATAGTTTTTTAATAATTAAAAAAATGTTTTTTTAACTCCAACTAATTTTATTTTAATTTAAAATTTAAATTTGTTAAAATAAAAAATATTTTTCGCTAGTGGGGTTCGAACCTCCCACCCCTCCCCTTGGAAATATAACTTTTTCCCACTTAACCAAAATAAACATTTTTGAGGTCAAATTTCTATAAGATGTCTAGTAAAGTAAAAATACTACTTTTAAGATTTACGGATACAAAAAATATTTGCGGACAAAACTTGCGGATTTTTAAAAAAATCCGCAAAAAAATTTGCGGACCGATTTCAAAAATTCGTAAATTTTAAATTAATCTAAAAATATTCTGCGTTAATTATTTTCCTCTTTTTTTTCAATTTTTGTAGACAATTTGTACATATAACCTCCATTTTTCTGTAATCGATTTTCTCTTTTCATCTACCAGGGAAGCCAATAAAATATCTTAAAAACATTGGGGAGTTTCCGCTCATTTCTTTTCTCTCTTTTAGAAAATGTGAGGCGTGAAGAGGATTGAAAAAGAGGAAAGGAAAGAGTCGCCATTTAAAATAAAAAATTTTTATTTATTAGTTTTTGTTTTGAGAAAAAATAAAATTAATCGCGAAAAAGTCTAGGTATTTTTAAAAGACTTGTCCCTCCCTTCCTTTCCTCACTTTTTAATTTTTTAATTGACAATAGCTATTTTAATTTTAAATTGTTTTTAACTAAAAAAGTGCTTAAACATTGTTTAAATTAACTAGTTTATTAAATTATAAAGGGTCTACGTTTAGTGTCATTTTGGTGTAGTGGGAAACGCGTGGGTTTTCAACGGGAGGGGTCGTGGGTTCGAATCCGGTTAAGGAAAACTTTTTTTAATTTAACAGAAAAAATGTTTTTGACTAGAATATTAGAGCCTAGAAATAGTTTTTCTTATTTCTTAGCCCCTGTCTTTCTAGTTTAGTGGGAAAAGTTTGGAGTTTTTAACTGAAAGAGTCGCGGGTTCGAATCCCACCGAGGGGAATCAATTTTTCTTTTAACTTAAAAATGTTTTTTCGATTAAAACGAGGCTATTAGAGTCTAAAAATATTTTTAAAGAATTTTTTAAATCAATAACTTTTGTTAATTCCATCCATTTTTAGGCCAATTCTGCCTCATCTTCACACCACCAAAGCGGTACTTCCGGACCTGGAGTGGCTGGAACAAGTAATACAAGTGGAATGAAACTTGGAGCAACAAATTCTGGCACGGGGGCAGTGAAGGAATTGTTGGATAAAGTATATGAAGAATTTGGAGTTTTACAACAACAATTGCATAATACTAGAATTGAATTGGAAAAGTGTCAACAGGAAAAGGATGGTCTTCAAAGATATTCAATGATGGTTAGTGAATTTTTTAAGTATCTTTTATGGTAAAGTCAATGAGAAACCGGTCAGTAAATTTTTGGACTGAAAAGACTGAAAATTTTTTTAAAGATTTGCGGACGAAACTTGCGGACTTTTTAAAAAATCTAACGAAACCGCCATTTTTATGGCACGGAAATGGCTCTATCACGTAGCGGGTCGTAATACCATATCGTCGAAATATATATTAAACTTGGGAAATTACGTTCCAATACCAAATAAATACCAGATCTAGGGGACTAGAGGAAAATTCTACCAAATTTCTATTATTTCCCTTTATTTTTTAATTAATATTTATTGTATTTCTTTAAAGATGAATGAATCACTTTTTTCTTTGAATATGGAAACGCAAAAACATATAGAAATTGGCAAACGTCTATCTGGCATTTTGACGGTTTATTTTTTATTTTCTTTAAACTTGAAAAAAAATTTTTTAAATTTTAGCACGTTATCCCAATGCTTCCACAAGAACACCAAGGATCGGCTGTGTCAGCGATTGAAAGGGCTAAGGCTGTTGGGCCACAAGTATTTTTTTTATTAATTTTTAAAAGGTTTATAAAAGGGAAAAGGGTTTATAATTCTGGATGAGTTTTTTGAAAAAATCGAAGTTTTTCGTTTTTCTAATGATTTGCGGACAATATTTGCGGAAATTTTTTTGGCTTAATAATTTTAAAAAACCTCTTTGTGTAGGTATATTGAATTACCTATTTCCCCTTTTTTATTTTCCTGTTCCGTTTTGGTTGGTTTATTTCTAAGGGCATTTAAAGACCGAGTTAGAGAGTCCGCAAACTGTCCGCAAATTTATTGCGGACTGTCCGCAATTTAAAGCAGAAAAATTCAACCACAAATTCAAAAATTACTAAAAATGCTTTTTTAAGGAACTTTTAACCAATCATTTACAACAACAACAATTAGCTGCTATGATGTCTGTTGCTGGACCCGCTGCAGCAGCTGCAGCATTTAATCCTGCAATGATGATGGCTGGAATGTTTGTTTAAAAAAAATTTTTTAAATTTATTTTTGTCTCTTTTAGGGGGTTAAATTTAAATGTAAAACCGGAGGATGCAATGCAGCAACTCTTCAACAATATTTTAAAAAATCCAATTTTGGCTGGAGCTAATAATGTTGCTGCTGGTGGCGGTCCTCAGCAACCTCCCTGTATTCCTCAACAACTTCCATCAAGTAATCATCCATTAATGCCTGGGCCGTCATCTTCTTCGTCTGTTCCTCCAACTGGAGGTGGAGATGAAGGTATGAGAAATTAAAAAAAAATTTTGAAATTGCGGACAGTCCGCAAAAAAAGTTGCGGACTGTCCGCAAAAAAATTGCGGACAGTCCGCAAAAAATTTGCGGACAAACCTTAAGGGTTAGAAAGGGAATTTACTGATAATTTAGGGCCAACCATAGAATGTTCCCGAATTCTCCGCTTAAAAGTTTTTTAAAGAATTTGCGGACAGTCCGCAATAATTTACGGACTTTTTGGATGGGAATGGTCAATAAGGTCGTTAGATTCCTTAAGAGATAGAGCGAATTTACTTTGAAAAACCAGTCCGCAACTTCTATCCGCAAATTTTCATTATTTAAAAAGCTTCAGGCCGTCCATCAACACATCCTGGAAGAGCATCTTCTGTTCTAAACAGTACTGGTGGAGGAGGAAGTAGGCCAAGATCAGGCACTGGAACACCTGTTTCTTATGCAAAGAGAACTAAATTGGAACCTGAAGATGGGGATGGAGAATTGGAAATTGATGTTGGTTTTTAATTTTTTTTCTTGAAAATTTTTTCAAATTTCTTTGGCATTCTGTATTTATTTTTTAATACGTTGACATTTTATAATTTTTGACCGTTTTGCGGGCATTTTGATAAAAAAAAATAAATTTTTTTTTGGTTATTTTTGGCATTCTGTTTTTTTTGTTTTATTCAAATTATAGGCCTTAGGGTGGCATTTTTGCGGACTTTTTTATTTTTTGCAGACAAATTTTTGCTTTTGTGGACAATTTTTTTAGCGGGCAAATTTTTATCTTAGCGGACAAAAAAATTTTACGTCCATTTTGGGGACATTATTTTGAGGATATTTTTATAAAAATTTATTTTTCAGGTTCAAAATGACGATGCTGGTTCTTCTGCAGCTTTATCTCATCACACCAACGGAAGAACTAGCCAACCTTTTCATAAAGGTAAAGATGAAAGAGACACTGCATCAGCCTCATCTCGTGATTCAGCTACGCCCCGCTCCGGAAAACTTCAGGTTTTCTCTTTAAAAATTTTTAATGGATTTATGAAGAGAATTTAAGTCTAACAAGTTTGTGGTTAAGTGGGTTAGTGGTTTAGGAGGTAATGTGGTCAGGTTCAAGAGTTCTTTTGGGGGTTAACATTTTTTGTGGTTAAGTGGGTTATGATTTTATTTTTAATAAGTAATGGATCTAGGTTCGAACCCTTTTGGGAGTCAGACTTTTTAATTAATTCAAGGTTGATTTAATTTGTGATTCTAACAAAAAAAATAAATTTTTGGGTTGTTAAAATTTGAAAAAAATTTTTTTCACCCCTTTTAAAGCTCGCTTCTACCCCTGGTTCTTCTTCTGGCTGTCCCCCACAACCAAATATTCAACAACTTTTACCTCCCGCTATGGCAGATTTCTTTGCAAATAATTACGGAGTTAATAGATTTCCTGGAAATTTTAACAATCAAATATCGGGATTATTTGGAATGACTCCTGGAGGAGGAGGTCAATTAAATTCTTCTTCTCTAAATGCTTTAACAGCTGCAATGACAACAAATGGAAAATCACCGGCTTATGCTTTCAAGGTTTTTTTTTTTAATTTTTTTTTGAATTAAATAGAAGGGATTCTTTAAATTTTTTCGAAAGAAATTTCAAGAAAATCCCAGCATCTTTTTTCTTAAAAAAAATAAAAATTCTTTTCTTGGTTAAGTGGGTTAAAATTTAATTTTTGGGTGTTGTTGGGTCAAGGTTCGAATCCTTTTGAAGGTAAATAAAAAATAGAAGCCTAAGGCTTTAATTGGAGCAATTTGGCTCTTGAAAAAATTTTTGAACAAAAACTTTAAAATTTTTTTTAATTTAAAGGTTGCGCCTGGTGAACAAATAGCTCCTGTTTCTTTCCCTCCAGATGCTTCATTAGAACCGGATGTGCCAAAGTAAGATATTGTATTTTATTTATTTTTTAAATTAAATTTTTAATAAGGGGGTTATCTTCTTGGTGTTTTTAGTGTTCCACTTAAAGTTTAGTTTTAAGTTAGCTCGAATTTTTATTGAGTTTTTTGGTTTTATTCCTAGTTTTTTTCTTGAAAAAATGATTCTTGTTCTCGTGGAACACTACTAGCTTAATAAGTAAAAAGTAGAAGTAGGTTAATAGATTGCTGATAAAAGGGGGTTAACGGCAGGAAACCTGCTTGTTCCTGGTTGGTATTACAAAAGAGCTTTGCTAACACCTCGATCATTTGCTCTATTTACTGAGCTGGTCTTAAAAAAATTTTTTTTGGCTCTAATTTCCTTCTGACAATTAAATTTGCTATCCTTCCTTTAAAACCCTTTTTTAATTAAAAAAAATTTGGTATTTCAGAGGACTTCGCCGAATAGGTGACTTACCTCATGGAGATGTTGTCTGTGCTGTTACTTTAGCTAAAGATGGACGTCGAGTATTTACTGGTGGAAAAGGGGCTGTAAAAGTTTGGGATATTACTGAACGAATATTTAATTCATCAACAGCAAATGCTTCAAATGATACTTCAAGTGGTGATGATATGGGGGGAGTTGGATCTGTTGAAACTGCTAGTAATGGAGGTGGTGGTGGTAGGGCTGCAAGTACAGAGCCATGGTTGCCTGTAGCTACTTTTCCGGTGAATAAAATTTTTGTTTAAATTGGTGAAGAACGAACTTTAAGTAAAACTAAGTTACCTCTAAATCAGGAAATTGAACCTGCTTGCTTCGAGTTGTTATTAACGAGGAGCTTTGCTAACACCTCGTTCAATGGTATTATTAACTAAGCTACTTTTGGACGATGACTTTTCTTTTTTTTTTCGTGTCCCTCATCTAAACATTTTGACTAGATTATTTTACAGAAAAAACGTAAGGAGTTCCTCTTACAGAAATAATCTCACCAAACTTTTTCTCGTTGAAAAATGTGCGAGAAAAAATTTTTCTAGTCAAGTGCTACCCACTAACTATGAAATTTTACCTATATTTTAGGGAGGCGTTTATTAGAATGCAAAAGTTTTTAAATCAAAGCTAAATTCATTTTTTTTAAAGTGCCTAAAAGATAGCTATATTCGTTCATGTAAATTATTTTCTGATGGATCAACTTTAATTGTTGGAGGGGAAACAAAAACAATTTGTATATTGGATGTTGAAAGAGGAGGGGAAATAAAACAAACATTTGATTGTGAAGCAGAAGCTTGTTATGCTTTAGCTATTTCTCAAGATTGTAAAACTTTGTTTTCTTGTTGTTCTAATGGTGTTGTGAATGTTTGGGATTTGACATCTGGTGAAAGAATTGTTCAATTAATTGGGCATTCTGATGGGGCTAGTTGTGTTGATATAAGTGGTGATGGACAGAAATTGTGGACTGGAGGGTTGGACAATACTGTTAGGTGTTGGGATATTGGGGCTAGACAACAAATTGAAGCCCAATTATTGGAAAGTCAGGTGAGAGAATAAAAAAATTTTTTGTCGGGCCTGCTTTAGGATTTATGAAGCATTTTAGGGCAAATGAAAAACATGGGGAGAAATGTTTCGGAAGCTTGCTTCTCGAAAATTTGTTACATATTTGATAGTTGAAGCTTGAACATTTATGAAGCAAATTCTGAAGCAAAAACTTGCTTTAAAATTTATGAAGCATTTTAGGGCAAGTGAAAAACCTGGGCAGGACTGATTCGAAGCATGCTTCAGATAATCTGAAGCATATCTGATACATAAAGAACATGTTTCACGTGTTTTAAACATTTACGAAGCAAAGTTGTATAAATTTGAAGCATTCTATGCTGAATTGTTCTGAAATACCCGAAATTTTGAAACATGTTTCTAAACCTGAAACATGCCTTAAAACATCTAAAACTAGCTTTGTAAAATCAGAAAAATATTTTTTAAAGATTTTCTCACTTGGTTGTTGTCCAACTGATAATTGGGTTGCTGTTGGATTGGAAGACAGTAATGTTCAGGTTATACAAACCTGGATACTTAAAAACAAATTTACACAATTTTAGGTTCTAAACAGCGAACCTACGAGCGAAAAGTATTTAATTAGTGCTCATCAAAGTTGTGTTTTGTCTTTAAAGTTTGCGAACAGTGGAAAGGCAAGTTTTACAATTTTAAATATTTTTAAAAACATTAAATTAATGTTTTTACACATCAAAACATAGTTCAATTTGGGGGAAAATCAGAATTTTTAACTGGAATTGTAAAAACATGTTTTTTACAAAACAATGTTTGTAGATAAAAGCATTTTTGTACAAATCAGAATTGAAAAACATGTTTTGTAATATGTTTTTGTCGTTAAAAACAAATTTTACAAATCAGAACTTTATTTAAAAACATGTTTTACAAACCAGAATAAAAACTTTTTTTATTTTTAGTGGTTTGTTTCCACTGGCAAAGACAACGTTGTAAATTGTTGGCGCACACCTTATGGTTACAGACTTATAAAAACCAAGGAAACAAGTTCTGTCCTAAGTTGTGACATTTCTGAAGATGATCGTTTTCTTTTAACTGGATCGGGAGAAAAAAAGGCATCTCTATATGAATTGAGCTTTTAATTAATTTTTTTTTGAAGAGAGAGAAATTTTAAAATATCCCTCTCTTTAATTTTAATTTTCAGTAATCACTCATTATTTTTCGTATATTTAATAATATAAAAATAGCCCCCCTTCCCCTATACTTTTTTTAAATTTCGGATTTTTTAATAATCCTTTTAGAATTTATTTTTTTGCTAATTTTGTTATCAATCCGATTATTTTTTCATTATTTGAATTTTTCTAGGTTATTTTACAGTAAACACTTAAAATTTTTTTCAAAACTTTTTCCTTCTTAAAATCGCCTTGGTCACCTTTTCCCCTTGGAACATTAAAACAATGAAGGGAATATGTGGGGTTCTGGTCATTATGAAAGGAAGTCAATTAAACTTAGCCCCAAGGCAAACTATGCGGTCATATCTAAGGGAGGAAAAAGTTTTGTTTAAAAAACTTGGCTTCTACTCTGCATATATACAGGGTGCACCATAAGTAATTGGACACTTTTAAATTCCTTATAACTTTTTTTGTTGTCAATATTTTTAATCGATTTTATGCTTATTTTTTAGCTCATTCAATTCTCTATTATGGCTAGTCAACGTGATTCTATAATTTCTCTTTTTTTGCAAAAAAATTCAGTCCGCAAAATTTCATCTCTTCTGAATGTCCCAAAAAGCACTGTACAATACACAATCAAAAAATTCTGGTGAAAATTTTTTGGGAGGAAAATTTTTTAAAATTAATTTAGTAATCATGGCACAACTAAGAACTTACAAAAAAGTGGAAGACCGCGTTCCGTCAGCACATCCAAGAATATCAAAATGATCAAAATGAGAGTGCATCGCAATTCTCGACTCTCCATGAGAAAAGTGGCTCGTGAAACCGGAATAAGCGGCACAACCGTCAGACGAATAGCCAAAAATGAACTTGGATTAAAACCCTACAAGATCCAAAAAGCACAACTGCTAACAGAAAAAACCAAAAAAGTTAGGCTTGAAAGATGCAAATTGCTCCTCCAGTGGCACGCATGTCCGGACATTCTCTTCACAGATGAAAAAATTTTTACAATAGAGGCCGTTCACAACCATCAAAATGATAGAATTTGGACTAAAGAATCTCCTCTTTCCGATCAGATTATCACTCATTCCCAACATCCCCAATCTGTCATGGTTTGGGCCGGTATTTGCGCGTCAGGCAAAACACCCCTTATTTTCGTGGATCCTGGGGTAAAAATCAACAAAGATTATTACTTGCGAGAAATCTTGCAGCGTGTTGTAAAGCCTTGGGCCGAGAGCCATTTCGGTCGCAGAGTCTGGATTTTCCAACAGGCCTCTGCTCCAGGCACACAAGGCGAAAGAAGTTCAGGATTGGTGCAAGGCCAATTTCCCTGGGTTCATTAGCGCTCAGGAATGGCCGCCCTACTCCCCGGATTTAAACCCGATGGATTATTCTGTTTGGTCTATTTTGGAGTCCAGGGCCTGTGCTAAGCCGCACAAAAGTTTGGAGTCTCTGCGCCACTCTCTCACCCGGGAGTGGGACTTAATTACACTCAAAGAGGTGCGTGCTATTTGCGAAAATTTTTCTTCGCGCCTTCGCCTCTGTATCAAAGCCAAGGGTGGGCATTTCGAAACTTCTTGATTATTATTGTTCCTTATTTGATTCTCTATCATTTGATTGTATTTCGATTTTATTTGATTGTGTTTTAATAAAGTTATGAGAGAAAACAAGTGTCCAATTACTTATGGTGCACCCTGTAAATACTGAACGCATCTCATTTTATTTTTACACACAAAAACATTATTTTTCCCCTACCCAACATCCACTTATTTTTTATTTTAAAATTATTCTGCTTGTTTTTTTACAATTATTTTTGTAATATTTTTACAATTGAATAAACCTGCGCACACTTTGTTTTTATTCTGAAACTTGAAAAAGCTTAAGATTACAATTTAAATTCAATGTTTTTAAGTTTGCAATTCTCATGTTTATTATTTTCTGTAAAACACAAACATTTAATTAGCATATTAAAACATGTAAAATTCCGCCTGTTTTTGAAACATTTTTTGCCTTTTTAATAAATAAAAATACAATTTTCTGTTTTGTTTTCCAACTTGTTTTACAAGTTTACAATTATTACATTTTTATTTTAAACTTTGATTCAAACCAGAATTTTGATTTTACATTTACAATTTAAAAAATTCTGTTTTGTAAAAACAAGTTTATTTAATAGTGTGTTTTACAAATCAGAATTTTTAATTTATAATTGCAAATAAAATCAGAATATTGGAAAAACATTGTTTTGATATGTTTGTTTTAAATTCTGATTTTTACAAAGAGAAAAACAACAAAAACATCAAAACATGGTTAGACAAAAACAACTATTTTGTTGTTTTATAACAACATTAGCTCTCTCAACATTTGATATTTTATTTTCTTTTATTGGAATTTGTTTTAATGGAAATTCGTTTTCTTTTCAACATTTCCCCAATGCTTTTTCACTGCCTTTCGAGATAAACAAATCTGTTGCCGATTTCTTTATTTTGTCTTTGCTTCGAATGGTGTTGATGTTTGTTGGTTGTTTTGTTCTGATTTTTAAAAGAAAAGTAAGTTGATTTAAACGAACATTGAAAAACAACAAACATGTTGTGGAAAAATAACAAACATGTTGTAAAAAACACAAACATAAAAATAAGCTTGTTGCAAACTTGTTCTGACTTAAATAAACTTGTACAACAAATAAACCAGAATAAACTTTAAACTTTACAAATTCTGATTTTTAAAAATAAACTTGTTTTTTAATAAACTTGTTTTAAATAAACTTGTTTTAAATAAACTTGTTTTAAATAAACTTGTTTTAAATAAACTTGTTTTAAATAAACTTGTTTTAAATAAACTTGTTTTAAATAAACTTGTTTTAAATAAACTTGTTTTTAAATAAACTTGTTTTTAAATAAACTTGAATTAAAACATAACTAAAAACATGTTTTCTTTTCAGCCTTATAGTCTCCCACCCTTACAATGTATTTCAATTATCTCTTGTTCCATGTTTTGTTTTTTCAGTATTGTAAAATTACAAAAGTAATTTCCCAACTTTAAAATAAAAATAAACTTTGTTTTTATAGGCCTATACAATATATTGGAAATATAATTTTAATTTTCTCTAATATTTTATTTTCTGTTTTGTGCCATATTATTTGGTTTAAATTTTTACAAGATGATGAGAAATTTGATAATAATTATAAACATTTGGAGGAAGAAGATGAAGAAAAGGTAGTGAAAAATGAAAAAAATTTGCGGATTAGGAAAAACTTGCGGAAAATTTTTGCGGATTAAAAAAATTAAGGACAATTTTTGCGGACATCTACCATACCCAAAAAATGTTTTAAAATAAAATCAATTTTAGGGTATTTTTGTTTTGCCTTCAACAGACAAGCAAAATAACAACAAAGCCAATAAGGACACTTCATTAAATAATATTGAAAAACAACATCCACAATTAGCCTCAGATGTTGAACAAAATGTTACGACAAACAACGATGGACAACCTCAACCTTCTTTGATTACTTCTTCTTTAGCTTGGCCAATTTCTCAGTCTATAGTGAAAATTGTATGAATTTCTTTCCCTCAAACGTAAAATAATGGGCAGACTTAGAATGTGTCACAGATCTTGTCTATGGAGATAAGTACCCATCTCTGCTTTTTAGAATCAATTTTAGAATCTTTTATGGGGATAGAGGTTCTACTCACCCAGAATTTACTTACACACGCACAGTACCGGACCAATGATTCAAAAATGCAGAGCTGGGTACCTTTGGCCATAAGGAAAGGAACATTTTTCGACTGTGGAAGGAAAGAGGGAGGGGGGTACGAGGTTCAATTTCACCTTTCCAAATTTTTTACAGCCTTTTTTCGACATGCCCACTTATCAAAAAGTCAATTTGAATGTTGGGCCAAGTGCCAAGGTTAATGGAATGGATTTACCATTAAATGATATTGATACACTTAGGTTTTGAAATTTTAATTAAAAAAAACATTAAACCATTCCTTTGCAGGTTTTTCTTTAATTTTGGTGTTCAATATGCTAGAGTTATACTCCTTCGTCCACCTATCAATTTCCAACAGCAACAGCATTTGAAGGAAGATATAGAAAAAGTGAGGAAAAAAATTGCGAATTTTTTGCGGATGAAAAATTGCGGACAAAATTTTGTCCGCAATTTTTTTGCGGACAAAATTTTTTTGTCCGCAAAAAATTTGCGGACTCAAAATTTTTGTCCGCAAATTTTTTGCGGACTCGTTATACCCATTCAAAATCCATTTTTAGGAAATTTTTGTTGTGCCTTCAACAGACAAACAAAACGACAATTTAATACCAAAGGAGAAAGTAACTAAACCAGACACCTCAGTCAACAATAAAATTGAAGATTCGAAAGAATCATTTAATTTGCAATTTGAACAAACTTTGGATGAATTTTTAGAAAAATTAAAATTAATGGGATTTGTAGAAAATAATGAAAAAATAAATCAAAAAATTAAACAAACGGAAAAAGATTTTGAAATTTTACAAAAACAGTTGGATAGTACAAAGAAGGAATTGAAAAACTGCCAACAGGAGAGGGATGGGATTCAAAAATATACAACGATGGTGGGTTCTTGGAGAGAATTTAGAGGACAGATTTTGTTGTAAAGTTAGAGACACGGACCCTGTTTGACTCCGACCCAGAACTATAAGTATTTGTCTAAACATACTCCAAAATTTGCAATACTGACAACCCCTTCGACCCCCCAACCATAGTACATGGGATTAAGAGGGGTGCCGAAAGTAGGAGAGGGGGAGTTTAAACTAGATTTAGCAGTATTGGAATCCCGATCGGGTGGGATGATCTCGGTTTTTGAATTTCGATCCCGATTTTGCTGATCGAAAGATTTTCGGTCAATCCCGGTTTCAGTATCGGGCTCAGTATTCCAAAATCCCGATCTCGGTTTTATGGTGAAATGCCGATACCAATGAACTCTACTTTAAATTCCCCCCTCTTCAAACCATAAAAAATTTTAAACAAAAAAATTTTTTAAAGATGAATGAATCACTTTTTTCCTTAAATATGGAAATGCAAAAACATGTAGAAATTAGTAAAAGGCTTGAAGCAATTCTAAGGGTTTTTTTACATTTCGACAATTTTTAAAATTTTTTAGAATGTTATCCCACTACTGCCAAAAGAGAACCAAGAACCGACTTTGTCAGTGATTGAAAGGGCTAAAAATATAAATCAACAAAGCTATCTAAGTCCAACAATGCCTTTTACACATGCTGAGGCAGCAACTGTGACTGCTCACATGTTGAACAGTTGGAAGTAAAAAATAAAATTTATTTTCGAGCTTATTTTTTATTTGTCCGCAACAAACAATTTGCGGACAAATTGTAAATAGCGTTGGCCATTTTTTCCCAAGTTTTTCTTATAAGTGTACAGAATGGTCAAATCTTGCGGACATTTTAGATTTTATATTTAAACCTGATAAAAAATCAGGTTTAAATATAAAATTTTTCCTTTTTTAAGCAAAGATGCAATGAAGATTTTTGGCAATTTAATGAAAAATTCAACGCTTGATGCATCTACTTATAAAGATTGGTCTCTCTACAATGCGTGGAGTGCTTCTTTTAATGCGTTGGCTACACAATTTCCATTTAATAGTAATTCATCAATGCTTATTCCTTCATCTTCATCGGTGCCCGTCCCACCAACTACTTCGGGAAATAAAAGTAGGGAAAGATTTAAAAAATTTTGAGTTTGCGGACATGTCCGCAAATTTTTTGCGGACATGTCCGCAAATTTTTTGCGGACATAAATTTTGATAGGAAATTTTTTTTGAATTTTTCGACAAAAGAGAAAAATTTAATAGAAAATTTATGAAAATTTAAAATAATTTATAGGCCATAAACCACTTGCTGAACAAACATCTCTTACAAATAAGCCTGGCGCATCTGAAAATGCTCTTAAAAATGATGGAAATGGAAACAAGACTGTTGTAAAGTCTAGTAATGAAACTTTGGATAAAATTGGCAAAAAATTTGGGAATAAACCAGAACCAGCTTATGCTTTTAAGGTGCTCTTTTTAAATTTTGTATAAAATTAATAGATAGGTTCCCCAATTCTTTCAAAAAAAAATATATTTTTTATTTTGAAGATCGTGTCTGGTGAAGAAATAGAAGAAATAATGCCTGTTGATTTCCCTCCTAATGCTTCTTCAGAACCTGATTTGCCCAAGTAAAAAAAAATAAAATAATTAGAGTCGGATCTCGAGTTTACCTTTTTGGAGTATTAAAAAAGTAGGGGGTATTAGTTTCGGGTATAAATCGTTTGTGTACTGCCTCTCTTACATCCTATGGGCAAACAATAGGGTATATCTTATTTTGAATGTAGCTGTTATGTATGCGATTAAAAATATTTTTTTAACTATTTCTCACAATTTAAAACCTTTTCTATTTTGCCTCATATTTTTTAATATATTTAAAATTCCCTCATTCCAAAAATTTTCATTAATTTCTCTTTCCCTTCGATCACAACATTCAAATTGTTGCCATTGGACAGAAGGTTTACCCGAAATAAATATAAACCCTTTAAATCGGTAAAATGGAGATCCGTCTTTATCATTTTTTAAATACGAGGAAAAATTTTTAAAAATTTTTTTAAAATTTTTTTCAATTTAAAAGAGGAATGCGTCATATTGCTAATTTATCCCATGGAGATGTTTGTTGTACTACTATATTCTCCAAAAATAGACAACGTGTATTTACTGGTGGAAAGGGGTCAGTAAAAGTTTGGGATATTAACAATGTTACATCATTAACGTCAACTGACGACAATGTCAGAAACTTGGATTCTATGGCTACTTTTCCTGTAAAAATTTTTTTGTTTATTCATATTGCAAGATACCTGCCCCAGCTATTTCTCTAAAAATCGTGGTTTATTAGAGGAAGCTAAAAATGAGTTTGTCTCTATGCATTCTATAGAGACTGTGCTATGCCTCCGAAACCCCAAACCCGGCCGGCTCACTCCTGATGCATAGGCCAGCAGGCCAATTTTGCCTTTAACCGATGTGCCATTTCGCCCTTACTTTAATAGCCATCCAATTTTCAAAAGTCGTCATTTAAATAGAGGTCTATCAACTATTGAGGGTATCCTGTATAGACTCCAAGGTAGTATCCTATTCACCAGTGTTAGGTTGGTGCATTTTGTGGTTCCGGCTCCGTTCCTTTCAAAATCTGGCGCAAGCTAATGCGTGTTATGTCCTATGGGCGGACTTACCTAGTGACTAACAATAATAAAATGAATAAGGACAGGCGGCACGGTCGTCCCAGCCGACCATGACTGATCTAGGCCCACACATACCTGACAATGAGTTAGCTTACGAAGCCGAATACTAATTGCTATTAGCCCTCTAAATAACTTTATTTTTTAAAGTGCCTAAAAGATAGCTATATTCGTTCATGTAAATTATTTTCTGATGGATCAACTTTAATTGTTGGAGGGGAAACAAAAACAATTTGTATATTGGATGTTGAAAGAGGAGGGGAAATAAAACAAACATTTGATTGTGAAGCAGAAGCTTGTTATGCTTTAGCTATTTCTCAAGATTGTAAAACTTTGTTTTCTTGTTGTTCTAATGGTGTTGTGAATGTTTGGGATTTGACTTCTGGTGAAAGAATTGTTCAATTAATTGGGCATTCTGATGGGGCTAGTTGTGTTGATATAAGTGGTGATGGACAGAAATTGTGGACTGGAGGGTTGGACAATACTGTTAGGTGTTGGGATATTGGGGCTAGACAACAAATTGAAGCCCAAATATTGGAAAATCAGGTGGATTTTCTGCTGAAATTTTTTTAAGTTTGAGCTTTTTAAAGGTCTTCGCAATTAGTTGTTGTCCAACTGATAATTGGGTTGCTGCTGGATTGGATGACAACAATATTCATGTTTGTTCATACACACTTGAATATTTAAAAATAATTTGTACACAAATTTAGGTTCTTAACAATACAACAATGGGCGAAAAGTATTTACTTAATGGTCATAAAAGTTGTGTTTTGTCTATCAAGTTTGCGAATAGTGGAAAGGTGCGTTTTACAACTGTTTATATAGTTAACAATGGTTTTCTGAACTCAACATGTTTTTAAAAACATTTAAGAATGTTTTACAAATCAGAACTTTAAAAAAACAAAATGTTTCTACGAGGCAAAATTAGATGTTTAGAGAAATCAGAATTTAATAACAATTGTAAAAACATGTTTAAAAACATGTTTTACAAATCAGAACCTTATAAAAACAAAATGTTTTTACAAAGCCAAACATTTAGTAAAATGTTTTGGAAAATATATTCATATTCTTTAAAAACATGTTTTACAAACCAGTATGTTTTAAAATAAAAATGTTTTTACAAATCAGAATAATCTAAAAACATGTTTTTATAAATCAGAACTCTTTAAAAACATGTTTACAAATCAGAATTGTTTTAGAAAATATCAGAATTTATTTAAAAACCAGAATAAGTTAATTTTTTAGTGGTTTGTTTCCACTGGAAGAGACAATGTTGTAAATTGTTGGCGCACACCTTACGGCTACAGGCTTGCAAAAACCAAAGAAAAAAATGCCGTGCTAAGTTGCGACATCTCTAAAGATGATCGTTTTCTTTTAACTGGATCAGGGGACAAGAAGGCATCTTTATATGAATTGAGCTTTTAATTGAATTTTTTGAAGTTAAAATTAATCATCTCTTATTTAAAAAATATTTTTTGTTTCTGATATAACCAACCTCTTTTTAAATAATTTAAAATCCTCTCAATAAATAATCAACTCTACACTCATTTAATTTATTAATTTATCAAATTTAAAAATTCATCTTCTCTTGTATTTTTTAAAATTTTTGAATAAAAGTTGATCTGTTGGGTCATTTTATCAAATTATTTACTACCCTTGATAAAACATTATTTTAAATTTTATTTCCCACATTGATTTTGCAAGTCTCTCCCTTTTTGGTCTATATATTTAGATAGTAGTGGCGCTGCCCTCTTATCAACAACAAATATAATTTTGGCATTCCGAACCATTAAAATTTTATGTTACCCTTTTTGATAAGAAGAGAGCACATGAAAACTAAACATTTATTTTTTGGCCTCAACTTCTATATATTTTTTTGAGACATAAATATAATTTTTAATATACCTTCTCTTTTAAGTTTATAAACCAGAATTTAAGTTTAAACTTAAAATCATACATTATTCTGATTTTTTTATTTGCTTGAACTTTATCAATATACATTAATTCTGGTATATAAAGTCGAAAAATATACTAATTCTGATTTTTCAAGATTGAACTTAAATTTAATTCTGGTCTTTTTAAGTTTGACTTGAATGTTTTTTCTGATTTTATACAAATTCTGATTTTACAAGATTAAGCTTGACAAATATATAATTCTGATATTTTTAAGTTTGAACTTGAAAAAATAATTCTGTTTTTAAATAAACTTGTTTAAATAAACTTGTTTAAATAAACTTGTTTTTTTTAATTTCAAGTTTGAAAATAATTCTGATTTCTTATTGTAGTTTTAACTTTATATAAAATCAGACCAGAAATATTGTTTAAACGAAAATTCTGTTTTAAGACGAATATTTAAAAAATGATTCAATAAAAGCCAAACAATTATCAGAATAAACTTTCAAAAATGGTTAAACGCAATCAAATCCATTGCATTCTCCGAACATTAGCTTTTTCAACATTTGATATTTTATTTTCCTTTATTGGAATTTGTTTTAATGGAACTTCATTTTCCTATCAACATTTCCGTGATGATTTTGCAATGCCTTATAAATTTAATAAATCTGTTTCTGATTTTTTTATGATCTCTTTACTAAGAATGGTATTTTTGTTAGTTGGATGTTTTATTCTGATTTTTAAAAGAAAGGTTTGTTTAAAGCGAATATATTAATTCTGATTTTACAAGATTGAACTTGAAAAGTATATAATTCTGGTCTCTTTAAGTTCGAACTTGAAAGCGACATAATTCTGATTTTATTTATACTTGTTTAAAACAAAGTTTAATTCTGAATTTACACAAGCTTAAGCTTGATAAGTACTTATATATATTAATTCTTGTCTTTTTAAGATTGAACTTGAAAGAGAGTATAATTCTGATTTTAGATAAACTTATTTTAATAAACTTGCTTATATAGACAAACTTGTTTGAGCTAAACATGTTTAAATAAACTTGTTTGGAAGTAGAAAATAAACTTGTTTGAAAACAAATTTGTTTTAACAAACTTGTTTTAATTAAGCATATTTTAAATAAACTTGTTTGTAAAAACATGCTCTTAAAACATCCAAAATAAACTTGAATTTAAACAAACTTTTTTCCAGCCTTCTCGTCCTCTTGGACATTTAGCCCACGCGTCATTTGCACTCTGTATAATTCTTATTTCATTTACTCCAGCAAAGTTTCTTGGATTAAGCGACAATACAGGCACTCAACATCCCGGCAATTTATATATTGGGGATATAATTTTATTAATTTCCAATGTTTTCTTTTCTGTTTTGGCCCACAGAATTTGGCTGGGATTTTTAAGGGCTGCCAAAAGAATTGAAAATATTTATCAACGTTTGGAGGAAGAGGAGGAGGAAGAAGATGAAAATTCTGAGGAAGAACAACAAAAAACAACACAGGAAGGAAGGATTTCTGCTGACATGAAAACACATATAATTAGTTGAATTTTATTAATTTAATTAATTATATTTAATTAACCCCCAGTTATTCGCTTACTTCAGTATTGCAAAAATGAATGGCTGTGGCATATTAGTGGATTTACTTGGCTTTTTATTTATTCTTTGAGTGAGTCAATTACATATTCTATTTTTAAATTTGTGACCATTTTTAATGTTTGGACATTAGAAATCTGACCGTTTTGAAATCTGACCGTTTTGAAATCTGACCGTTTTGAATTTTTTTGACATTTTGAGATATGACCGTTTTTAATTTTTTTGACGTTTTGATGCTTGGACATTTTAAACTTCTAAGAGAATTTTGAATTAATTTTCAAAATTTTCCCTCAGCTCGTATCTTCGTTCCATACTATACTGGACAAGTAATCGCCAGCGTCGTGTCAAGTACTGGAGATAAATATGCTGCTTTGGTTGATTCTGTTAAACTAATGCTTTTTATTTCAATTGTTTGGTTAGTAAATAATTGTTAAAAAATATTTAAAAAAAAATTTTTTTTCTAGCGCAGTAGCAGGCGGTTTTCGTGGAGGGTCATTTGAGTATGCCTACGCTAGAGTTAATAGAGCTGTTAGACATAATTTATTTTCTTCTTTAATACATCAAGAAATTGCATTTTTTGATAGACACAAAACAGGCAAAATTAAATTTTTTGGGAAAAAAATTTTTTTGAAAAATTTAAAAAAATTTACAGGTGAAATAACTTCACGCTTAACTGCAGATACTACAACAATGTAAATATTTATATTGTATACTGTATTTTCTCCTATATTTTTCTCTTAAAATAAAACTTTTTCTGATTTTTGTTTAAATAATAAAACTTTTTCTGAAACTTGAAACAAATTCTGATATTTTAGAAAAATAAACCTATTCTGGCTTTTACTAAAATAAACCTTTTCTGATTTCTCTAAAAACAAACATTTTTTAATTCTGATTTTTACTTAAATTCTGATTTTCTTTAAAAATAAACTTATTCTGATTTTTATTTTAAAAAATTCTGGTCTTTATTAAAATAATAAAACTTTTTCTGATTTTCTCCAAAAATAAACTTTTTCTCCCCTTTCAGGTCAGACACCGTCTCTCTAAACGTTAACAGTTAGTTTAACTGTCTAATTAAGTAAACTTTAAAATTTCTCAAGTTTTTCTTCGCAATACTGTTCAGATGGGGGGCTCCATGCTTTTTATGATGACTTTAAGTTGGCGATTGTCTTTAATTCCGTTTATTGTTGTTCCGATTATTTTGGTTGCTTCCAAAATTTTTGGTGTTTATTATGATGTTTGTTCTTGTTTATTTTTCAAAAAAAATTTTTTTCTTGAAAAATTTTTTTTAAAATTTTCCAAAAAATTTTTAAAAATTTTTTTGGGAAATTTCAAAAAACAATTTTTTTTTAATTTCAAAAAAATTCCAAAAATTCAAAAAATATTTTCAAAAATTTCCCCCTTTACCAGTTTCTCAGCGAAAGAGCCCAAGAAGCCATTGCCCATTCTAACGATGTTGCTGAAGAAGTTATTTCAACAATGAGGACTGTTAGAAGCTTTGCTTGTGAAGATTACGAGGCTGAACGTTTTTATGATAAATTAACAAATACTTTGGGTGTTACAAAACGAAAGTCTTTTGCTTATGTTATTTATCTTTGGGTTTCTGAAGTGAGATTCTAACAAAAATAATTTAAACAAAAAAATTTTTATAAACAGCTTTTCCAAACAATAATTAATGTTTCTGTCCTCTGGTATGGCGGACATTTGGTTCTATCAGGGCAATTAACAAAAGACTTGCTTGTCTCTTTTCTTTTATATCAAATGCAATTAGCTGATAATATTAGACAACTTGGAGAGGTTGGAAAAAAATTTCAAAAAATTTCAAAAAATTTCAAAAAAATTTTTAAAATTTTTTTGAAATTTTTTAAAGGTCTGGACAGGCCTAATGCAAAGTGTTGGTGCTTCACGTAAAGTATTTGAATATATCGATAGAAAACCAGAAATATATACAAGTGGAGATTGTATGCCTGAACGCTTAGAAGGCAAGATAGAATTCCAAGGAGTCCATTTTGCTTATCCTACAAGGCCTGACAATGAAGTTTTGAGGGTAAAGTTTTATTATTTTTAAAAACTTGAAGCAAAAAACTTTCAAAAAAATTCTGAAACAAAAATATAAATCAGAATTAATTAATAAACTTGAAAATTAATAAGACTAAACTTGAAAATAAACCAGAATTAAACTTGAAACTAATATTAAACCAGAATTAATTAATAAACGTGAAGTAAATAAATCAGAAATAAAATCAGAATTAAAAATGAAAAATAACAGAATCAGAATTAATAAACTTAAGACTAAACTGGAAAATAAACCAGAATTAATTAATAAACTTGAAAGAATAAATCAGAAATAAAATCAGAATTAAAAATGAACCTGAAATATAACAAAATCAGAATTAATAAACTTAAGATTAAACTTGAAAATAAATCAGAATTAATTAATAAACTTGGTAAAATAAATCAGAATTAATAAACTTAAGATTAAACTTGAAAATAAATCAGAATTAAATAATTTTATTTATTTAGGGCCTTTCATTTTCTGTAGAGCCTGGAGAAGTTGTTGCACTTGTAGGGCCTAGTGGTAGTGGAAAAAGTTCTTGTATTGCTTTACTTGAAAATTTTTATTCTCCAAATGGAGGTAAAGTATTAATTGATGGAATTCCTGTTTGTGATTATGAACACCATTATATACATGAAAAGGTGGAGATTTATAAAAAAAATCAGAAATTTGAAAAAATAAACCAGAAAATTAAAAATAAATCAGAAAATAAGCTTGGAAATAAACTTAGCAATAAACCATTAAAAAATCAGAATTAAGTGATAAACTTGCAAAATAACCCCAAAACCAGAGACTTAAGAATAAATTAGAATTAATTAATACATGTAAAAATAAACATCAGAAAATAAAATTTAATTTAAACAAAAAAGATAGCATTGGTTGGCCAAGAACCTGTACTCTTTGCTCGTTCAATATCAGAAAATGTAGCTTATGGTTTAGACAAATGTACAACTGTAGATGTTGTTGAAGCAGCTAAAATGGCTAATGCCCATTCATTTATTATACAAACACGTGAACAATATCAAACAAATGTTGGAGAAAAAGGAAGTCAAATGAGTGGTAAAATAAATAAAAAAATAAAATATTAATTTAAAAAAAATAATTTAAAGGAGGACAAAAGCAACGCATAGCTATTGCAAGAGCTATAGTTAGAAAACCAGCAATACTTTTACTTGATGAGGCCACGTCTGCTTTGGTTAATTTTATAAACTTGAAAATAAATCAGAATTTAAAAATCAGAAACTTAAAGAAATAAAATAAACTTGACAATAAGTCAGAAAAATAAAAACCAGAATATAAACTTGAAAATAACTCTAAAATAAATCAGAATTAAACACACAAACTTGAAAAATAACTCAGAAATAAATAAACTTGGAAATAACTCAGAAAATAAACCAGAAAATAACTCTGAAATAAATAAACATGAAAAATAAATCAGAAAATAAACTTGAAAAATAACTCAGAAAATAAACCAGAAAAAATAACTCAGAAATAAATAAACTTGGAAATAAAACCAGAAAATAAACTTGGAAATAACTCAGAACTTAAATCAGAATTAACCATTAAATTAAATCAGAATTAAATACAAACTTGAAAATAAATCACAAACTTAAAAAATCAGAATTAATTTAAAGGACACAGAATCAGAACATTTAGTACAAGAAGCAATATATAAAAATATGAAAGGGCGCTCTGTTATATTAATTGCTCACCGACTTTCAACTGTAGAAAAAGCAGATAAAATAGTTGTAATAATAAAAGGGCAAGTAGAACAAATGGGGACACACGAACAATTGTTATCACAGGCACAGAAAAAATTTTTTAATTTTTTTACAAACAATTCTTTTAAAGGAAGGCATTTATCGCTCACTAGTTCAACGTCAAATGATTGGCGGTGGGGGGAATGGAAATAATAATGGAGGGGATATTATTATTGGAGGTGATCCAACAACTTCGGCTAATATAGGGGTTGAGGAGGAAGGGGAGGAGAATAATAATAAAAATTTAAATGATGGAAGGGATTCAATTACGTCTTTGGCTAGTGGTGGGGGTGGACGTAGAAGATCGAGAATTGGGCCTAGAATTGTTGGAAGTAGTGGATTGAGTATTTCACCGAGAACTATGGTAAATTAACAATTTTTGGAATTTTTAAAAATTGAAAAAAAATTTTTTAAGGCTCAAACTTTGATGGCTACATCATTTACTCATTCAACTTCAAGTCTTCAATCGAAATAAATTGATGAAAAAAACTTCAAAATTAAAAATTAATTAATAAACATTTTTAAATTGCTAATATAATTGTTTAACTATTTTTGGATTTTTTTCTAAAAATTTTTTTTTCTAAATTAAATAAAATTTTCGTTGGTAAAATGTATTCTCTTGGAACACACTTACAAATTAAGTTTATCCAAGTAAATATTAAATAAGACTTTTAATAATATAAAAATCAGAACTTAATAAACTTGAAAATAAAATCAGAATTTAATAAAAAATAAATAAACCAGAAACTTAAAAATAAAATCAGAAACTTAAAAAAACTAAAAATAAACTTTACAATAAAATTGAACGTATTAGAAAGAGAATAAACCAGAAAATAAACTTGAAATAATTAAATAAATAAAATCAGAAATTAATAAACTTGAAAACAAATCAGAATTTGTAAAAATAAATAAAACCAGAAATTAAACTTGAAAAATAAACATATTTTTGAGTACATTAGAGTATTGTCCAAAAGATTATAAAAATATAGTCATAAAAAAATTTATTTTTGTATAACCGATCAAAAAGTGATGTAAATGTTAAATTTTTTAAAAGAATTTTACAATTAATTTTATTATTATTTTATTTAAAAATAGCAGAAACACATCATTTTTCTTTCCCTTTTTGTTATTTTTAAGAGGTTTTGTTGGATAAAGAGTGGGGGAGTGGAAGGAATTAAGTGCTTAAATATGTGAAGAAGCTAAAAAGAGGATAAAATAGAAGAAAAGGAAAGAGATTTCTGATGCTTAAATTAAAAAAATATTTTTTTAATGGATGATAAATTAAATAATAAATAAAGAAGGCGGTCCTAGAAAAATAAATAAAAAATAAATTTTTATACAAATATTTTTGAATAATTTTGAAAAGAATGTACACACTTGAAAAAGAATTAACATTTCTAAAATTTTATATTTTTTCTTTAAAAATGAAATAAAATATTGCCTCTTAAATACTCTTTAATATAATTACATAATTAATGAGAGAATAAAAAAAAGTGTATAGAAAAATAAGAGAGAAAATAGACACACTCAAGCTTATTTATATTCAAGTTTGTAAACTTGAAAATTTATTTTAAATGTTTATATTTTATTAATCAAGTTTATTAACAAGTTTATTTAAAAATTATTTCAAGTTTGCAAACTTAAAGTTTTTATATATTTATTTCAAGTTTGTATATTTCCAAGTTTATTTAAATTAATTTTAAACTTAAGTTTATAATCAAGTTTATAAACTTGCAATTATTTCAAGTTTAATTACTTAATTGTTATTCCAAATTTATTAAAAAAAATTCTGATTTTAATTGAAAATCAGAATTATAACCAAGTTTGTTTTTCCAAGTTTATTTTATTGTTGTTTCAAGTTTCTTAATTCTGATTTTATTGAAATCAGAATTTATTGAAAATCAGAATTATAAAGCACTTCTAGTCTACAAATAATAGCAAATCAGAATTTAAGTTTTACAAGTTCTACAAATCAGAAAAATCAGAATTTTTTATATTAAACAACAAAATAACAATTCCTCCCTTCCTCTCTCTCGTCTTTTTTTTCAAAAATTTTTTTACATAAAAATACATATAAATTTACATTTTTTTCTTGTAATTCATCTGCCTTTACTCAATCGCTGCCATTTTATTTTCCAGAAGATGGCTGAGAGAGAAAGATGAATGAGGAGAATAAATAGCTGCTACCGCGCCTAGAGGGGCGGTGACGACCAAAAAAAAGAGGGGGGAGGGGGGGGGGAATAGAAGGAATTGGGGGGGGGGGGGGGTTTTTGACTAGATAAATTGGTGGGGGGAAGGGAAGCGCCAGCCGCCCCACTACACTATTTTTTTCAAGAAAATTTATTTTTTTTTTTCTACTAGAAAAAAGACCAAAGCAAAGGCCACATTCAAATTTTTCCTTTCCTTTCTCTCTTTTATTTTTAAAAAGAAGCCCGTTTTTGGCATCTTTTCCCCCCATTTTTATATATTTTGCTTATTTTTCATTGAGTCCTTTTTCCCCAAATTTTTTCTTCAAAAAAAAATTTGTTTATGGACAAAAAAAGAGAAAAACGCATCTTTTATTTTCATGTTATTTATATACTAGAAACTTTTTGATTATTCAATTAAAAAATAAAAATTAAAAAAAAATTTCTTGAAGTTGCAGAATCACATGAAAATCTCTTAGGAGGAGGAAAGGTTTAAGGAAGGGTTAAAAAGGACGGTTTAAGGAAGGGTTAAAGAGGAAGGGTTTAAAGAGGTCCCTAAAGAAGTCCCCTCCTCTGGAGGAGGAATACCCAGAGTTCGCACCGACATAGAAAAATAAATCCCGCTTTCGGGTTCGGGCCGGTATGATCCCCGCGATTATAAATCTTAAACTGCATCTTTACCATAAGACTAAAAAACCTTCCAAGTTGAGTGATCCTTAGTCTATCTCCTTCAAACTATTTATCTTTAATTTTCCTGATTTACACCTTCGAACTTCCTTCGAATTTCCTTCGAATTTCTGTGTCAACTACGTTTATAACACTCCAAATTCCCTGATTTATATTTTTAATTCCTTGATTAAAACGAACCCTTTCATCATTCATTGTTCGTCAAACTTCTTTCCCCCTTTTTTTCTCTTAGTTTTCTCTTTCTTAACTCTCTATCAGATATAAACTGTGTGTGATCAATGCCTCCCGAAATTTCAAAAACTTTTTCTTAGTTTTCTCTTTCTTAACTCTCTATCAGATATAAACTGTGTGTGATCATTACCTCCCGAAATTTCAAAAACTTGAAAAATTTTGAAGGGACCTATTTTTAAATTTTTTCCTTCCTTTATTTTTAATTTTAAATATTTTTTTTTGCTTATTTTCTCTTTTCGCGCAATTACACACACAGACACACACTAGAAATAAAAATACCACCTAGTCGTATAATTCTAGCCCTACAATTTTTTCGCCTCTAGCTTTTAAAATATTTGCATATATTTGCATAAATAGCATTATATTTATATATTTTTACTTTTAAAATTCTCCCCCTCCATTTTTTTATTTTCTTTTTTTTAGCTTCCAAGTCTCTGTTTATTTCACACGCCATTTTTGCCTATTTTCGTTTCTGCGCTTTTTCTTTTTATTTTTAACAAAACCGGATATATTTAATTGAATAAATACAAAATCATCCCTTTTTTACAAATGGTCACGCATTTTTACAGGTTATTTAGGAAAATTTACAAAAATTTACAAAAAATTAGGAAAAAATTTTTGGTTGGAATTATTGTCCAAAATCCGAATCAAAGAGACCCGAACAAGACGGGGGCAGGCCAAGGTACAGCAAAGCTATAACTTCGTTCAACTCTTTAGTATGGTTCAATCCGGGACTCTTTAGTATGGTTCAATGCATCTCGACGAGATGAACCGAACCACATATCAGGGCGTCCCGGATTCGACCATTTTAAACGAAGTTATAGCTTTGCGGTACGTTGGGGTTGCGGTACGTTGGGGTGTACCCGTCGAGACGAGGTCGAGATTTTTCGAAATACTGATTTCTATGGGCTACAGCAAATTGCACTTATTTTGTAGTTTTCTTTTATTTTCCATTTTATTTTTTCTAAATTTTAATTTTCTTTAAATTCTCTATTATTCAAACTTAAAAATTGATCTGTCCAAAAATTTAAAAATTGGCGCTCAAATATTCAAAAAAAATATAATAATGAGAGTTCTTCCATTTTTCTCCTATGTATTTTTTCTTACAAAACAATTCCCTCTCTTCCCTTTCTTCCCCTTTATCTACACAAATTTAAACGAAAATGAGGTAAAAATTAATGATGGAAAATTGTGAAAAATGAATTAAAAATAAAATTGTTTGTGAACAGAAACAGAAAATTTAAAATTTTTGGACATTAGAGTAGTGTAAAAAGGGGAAGTTTGATATACAGTCGAAATTCAATTTTAAATATCCCCCTAGGTATCATTTAGTCAAATCCCTCCACTCCTTGGACAATTAAATTAAAATAAAGTAAATAAATATTAGGGTTGTTGGCAGCAGAGGTGGGTCGGAACAGTCAGAGGTGTCGGAAATCGGAAGAGCCGGAAATCGGAACTGGCTCAAAAGTTGGAACTCGGAAATCGGAAGGAAAAAGCGTCGGAAATCGGAATTTCGACCCACCTCTGGTTGGCAGTCAATTAACCGAACCGGAACCAAAAAGCGGGTGTCCAAAATAATAATTGAAAAAACCTGTACTGGCTAATAACCAGTCGCCAACACCCTAATGGAGATGTACCAATACATCAAAATGAGGCTCTATTTGTTATTAATTTTTAAAAAATATTTTTTTTAATTTTCTCTAAATCATTTTTGAGATGATCTCATTCCTTTTTTTTAATTCATTTTATCTCACAAATTTGTCTGCTTTTTTTATATTCATAATTATTTTTTTAATTTAAATTTTTTGTTTATTTTCTTTTAATGCTTATCAGTTTAATTCATTAAACAATTTTTTTTTATTTTTAATGCATTAACCAAACTCTTAAAAAATCCTTTGCGCATATTTAAATAAAACTTCCTCATTCCCAGCCTTTTTTAATTATTATGTACTAGTTTGAATATTTAAAAAAATGTAAATTTTTCTTCTTAAAGTTGTTAAAAATTATAAATTATAATTCTTTAAAATTCTTGTCAATCTAAAATAAAATTTAAAAAATATATTAAAAATTAATTCCATGGCTAAGTAGTTTAATCTTAATTATTTATTGGTATATAGGTTCGATTCGATTCTTTGTCAGTAACTAGTTTCTTAATTTTTCCGGATTGTACTATTATTATTATTATTTTACGGATCGACATTCTATTGTAGGAATAAAATTATAATTTATTTTTCCGGAAGCTTTCCTGATTCTATATTGTAAAATACAAATATAATCGAATATATTAATTTTGTATTTTTCCGGAATATAAAAAGATTTCCAGAATTATACTTGCATATAATAATAATTTATTTTCCGGAAAGTTTCCGGA